AATGACATCAAAAAGAGGGATTTCCCAGGAATGTGTGTTGAATTTTACATGTAAGTGAGGCCTTCATTAAAGTTCATGAAGAAGCTGTTTATTATTATTATTATTATTATTATTATTATTATTATTATTATTTTATTGACACAAAAACACAATGTGTTATAGCAAATGAGATCTATATGCTGGATTTCGTATCACAAAATCACAAGACGAACACTTCCCAAGTAAGGTGCCCTTTTGCAGTTGACAGACTGTGACTCTGTCAATGTTTATTGTTTCCAAATGCCGGCTGAGATCTTTTGGCACGGCACCCAGTGTGCCGATGACCACTGGGACCACCTGTACTGGTTTATGTCACAGCCTCTTTTGAGGTCCTGATAACGGCTGAATTTTTCCTGTTGTTTTTCTTCAATGCAACTGTCACCTGGTATGGAGACATCAATAATTCAAACTTTTTTCTTTTCCCCAATCGTGATGTCTGGTGTATTGTGTTCCAAAACTTTGTTGTTGTTGTTGTTGTTATTATTATTATTATTATGTTTTGAACAGGCGAACTGTTTTTAATTGAATGTTTATAATTGTTTTAATTGTGTTAATTGTAACTGTGTGTTTTAATGTATTGTTTTTGGCATCTAATGACTGCCTGTGGTAAGCCGTCCTGAGACCCTCTTCAGAGGTGAGGAAGGACGAGATAGAAATGCCTGAAATAAATAAATAAATAAATGTTTGTACCCTGTCTCCATCTCCCCGAAGGAACTTGGGATGGCTTACACATGGCACAAAGTGCCTAAAACAATGCATAAAATAAAATAAACACACAATACAATACAATACAATACAAGATAAACCAGTAGTATAGAAAACAGCAATTTGACTCAAAATGGTGCCCAATAACATGTAGTGTCAACTATTGTAAAAACATGGTCAACTGTAGGGAAGGTATTGGGATAGTGCAAGTTGTAGCTAAGGAAGAAGAGCATGTGATGAAAGTGTTGTGCTGTACCATAATTGTGGAAAAAACTAACCATATTCTAATAGAGACAGAGAAAATAAAATGAAGACTTGAGCTGAAATTACAACAACTCCAATGATTCCATAGTATTAAGTCATAGCAATTAAAGTGGCATCAAACTGCATTAATTCTACAGTAGAGAATTAATATGACAGTAGACTCTAGTCATATTAACCTAGAGTTTTTTAGGAGTTGTCCACAACACACACACACACACACGTACACACACACACACACACAAAAAGCCTGGAAAGCAGTAGAAGCAAAATGACTGAAATATATTAAAAATATAATGGATTTTACCCAAGGGAACTATAGGTAAAGGGGAGGTGATTATTGGGGAAATGAATCACAATTTCATATGTTCATTTCTGTCAACCAGGCATTTCTTTGACTACAGGCTTCTAGGGCTTTTTTCCAAGTTTCAGGGATGGAGGCCTTAAGTGATCAATATATTATTCTTTATAGGTACGTAGATAGAGGTAATAGACTGGAACCAAGCAATGTAATTGTGAATTGCTTAAAGCCTCAGAGAGAGTAGATGCCAACAATTGCAATTTTACAGGCACTTCAGAAAAAGGACAGCGTTGGCCATTTCACTTCCCAGTAATGTTTGTTTTCCTTCTGCCAAGTATACAACATTATGATTAAGAAACAGAGGAGCCAGTAATTTTTCTTGGTTAACATGGGAACTCAAAACACGAGGGTGTGTTTAACTTGTTTAATGTTTTTTTCTCCTCTGACCTCTAAAAGGCTTTAAGTAAATTTTGTGGTAAAGCAAAGCACATGAGCAGCTAGGGAGTCTCAGACAGTTATAGTGTCTGAATACACTCTTTGTGGTATTGGCAAAGAGGTGGTGATTAAGAATTGGCAAGCCAGTTGGACTGATAAACTTTTATTTCCCTTCCAAGAGACCTGCAGCAGGGTGATGCACATACATAGCTCTCATAAGAAACTGTTTTGTTTATTTATGCTTATATATTGTTATATTTATACATGGTTTTGTCTTGGTGTGTAATATGTCCTTTACCCTAATCCCTATGCTACATGGTTAGCCATCCACGTTTGTGGGTTTACTTTTTGTGAATTAGATTATTCATAGATTTGGTTAATATGTTCTCTGTAGGAATCTCAAAGTCTTCCGGATTTAATGGTCAAGTTCTAGTGCACTCCTAGAATGCCCTATATAAAAGGAACAATCCCCTTCTCTGAGCAGACTGATGAAAGGCAAGACCTTAATCCATCTCTGGAGAACCTAGAGAAGCACTGAGCCCCCTCTACTCCCTCTGCGACAGTACCGCTTTATGTATGCCTTGATGGGGAAATTATAGTGATGGCCGTGGCCAGCTGGCCCCTTGAGATGGCATTGGTGCTATCTCCTCTTTGTGGAAAAACTCTCAATTTATCCTTGGGTCATATCAAAAGCCACAATTTTGGCCACCAAAACTACCTTCAACTTATACATGAGACTAACTTATACATGAGTATATACCAGGCCCTCCTGATCGGCTGTATCATCAACTTCCACCTACTAATGTCCAAAGAAATATTACTGTATATAGCAGACATGGGCAAATGTTGGCCCTCTAGGTGTTTTGGAGTTCAACTCCCAGAAATCCTAGCCAGCTAACCAACTATTAGGAATTGTGGGAGATGAAGTCCAAAACACCTGGAGGGCTGAAGTTTGCCCATGTCTGCTATATATAGTAATACCTTTCTGGACATTTGTAGGTCTTCAAGCAAGACCTCCAGTGGAAATTGTCGATACAGCCAGTTAGGAAAGCCTAGAAATTCCTAAAAAAAGGGTTCTCTCCAATTTAAAAAGAGTGTTTTTATTCACATTTTTTCACAGGGGCCCTGTGCACCTAACCCTAATGAATTTGGAGGGCTGATTGTATAGCATTTGATGAAGTGGAACATATCTAAGCAGAAGTGAACAAGCAGACACGGAAGAATCTTACCACTCTCTGGAACTCTTCTCTTTTAGAGACTGTTCCCACCCATCCTTTCATCACCACCACTACCATAGATACATGAAAGGTTTGGGCAGCAGGAAAGGGTGAACATGTTGAGCAGAGAGAGATGAAGAAGCTGTTGCTAAGCAAATAATCATACTAGAGTGTATCCACAATACACAGCTCCATATTACTTGAATTGACATGGCTCTATCCTAATCAATATTGGGTTTTGTAGTTCGGTGAAAGAAAACTGTAAGGGGGGGGGGGGATGACTGTTCCAGACTAACCAGATGCTGTTCAACTGCTACTCCCAGAATGCCTCTTGTGAAGCTGTGAGAGTTGCAAGGGGTTGCCAACCTATTGTGTCTGGTGAGACACACGACTCCCACCACTGTTGTAGTCCACTTCCTCGAATGGTTCACATGGTTCCCACATTCCTTACACTATGTCCTCTTTTACTCTCTTTCATAGATAACTTGCCACTTTCTAAGAATCCCCCAAAATACAGCTCCCAAGAGTCATTAACAGTATATATTTATCATGTCAGGAGTGAACTAAACAGTTGTATTGTATCAAAAAAACCACAAAGTCTGCAAACATGGCACTTCAGCAAGCGAGAGTCCAAAAGTGGCAGGCTAACACCCTGTACCTCAATCAGTGCTAACAGGATGAGAAACTCCCTTCTGGGCATATGGAAGAGTGGGAAACAAGAGTGGGAAACTGAATAGGCTGCGCTTTGGCACCACAAGATGCAGAGCTAATCTTAAGAAAAGGGGCTATAAAGTGGAGTCCACAACATGAGAGTGCGGAGAAGAGCAAACCACAGATAACCTACTACAATGCAACCTGAGCCCTGCCACATGCACAATGGAGGGCCTTCTCACAGCGACACCAGAGGCACTCCAAGTAGCCGGCTTCTGGTCAACAAACATTTAGCATAATGTTGAGTTTTTAAAACTTTGTGTTTTTTAATGCATTTTAACTGTACCCTCAACTTGCTTCAGACACGATAAATATAACTACATATGGTGGAGAAAACTCTTTTTTGTATCTCATTTTAAAAAGTAGACTAAACAGGGTGAATTTTTTTTTCTTGGGGGAGAAGTGATCCAAAAACTACCCTTGTTACTCTTATTCACAAATCGTTTTTCTCCATGATCACCCCTGAACCTCACACTGTACATTCCGACTTCCTTCTGGAAAAAAGATTTTGCCACTCCATCCTTTGCAGCCACTAACCTGAGATTTTTATCAGACCATTAAGTTTTGCAACCGCCCCCCCCCCCCTTTCGTTTCTTGTCAAACGTGTGGGATGAGCCACTTGTGACATCTTAAAGGAAATTATTTTAAAGCCGGCTGTTATAATAAGGCAAGGTGGCTCTTTAAGAATTCAATTAACTTCCAGCTTGTTTTGCCATAAATCGTCCGAGAGCACGTCCTGCCACTCTTGATTCCAGGGAGAGTGTCCGGAGACTGCCCAGATGTTTAAGCCTCCGGTTCTCCTCCATGGAAAGTTTCCGCCTGGAGGCTGCTGCATTTAGACATTCTGTTCTCCTGACTCTACTTAATCTAGAGTGCTGTCAGAGCTGTCACATGAACGGTGAATCATGGCCCCTTATTGAAAGCCCTCAAGAGGAGCCCAGGGCAGACAGCTGCACAAACCCGCACCCAAAAACTGGTCCCTCTCTCTCTTCTCGCAGAGGGTTTTTACAACTGAACCTCGGGATAATCCCAGCCCTTGACTGACAGGGCCTGTTTGTTCAATAACACAAATTTGTCAAAAACAAATTGGCTGTCTTTCAAACAGACACCCTTGCCGAGATTCCCTTCTCTTCCCTTTTTATTTTCTTCCCCTTTTCTTGCTCTCCCCCGCCCCACTTCCACAAAGCAAGATCCGTTTTCTCCACTCTAAACAAACTGGAATTATAAAAGAATGCTGCCCGGCTCCTAGCTTTAATAGATTTGCACATTTCCCCCCTCCTCCCCTCCTTTCTTCTTTAGTATTTCCCAGGATAACATATAATCCTTTGCACCTGCAAAAGCGCCACAGACTGCAGACTGCCAAGAATCGACCACGTGTCCTTGCTTCCACGACCAGAAATCCTGTGTTTAAAGAGATAGAAGGGGAAGAGGAGTTAGTATCTGCCCCATTTCCAACTTGCTAGTTAGTAATATGGAGGATAGAAACAAAAGTTTGAGAATTGCTAATTTTGTGGCATATTGAAAAAGTAATCCTGTCGCCTCACCTTCCCGCCCTCGAGTAAAGGGCTGCAATTCATAAAAGTAGATGCAAAAAAAAAAAAGGCACCAAAAGAGTATAGACTTATTTGTAAGTTTCAAGTCTTCATTCCAGGCTGGAGAAATGCAGATTTGCAGATACTGCCTAGATTTTAATTCCTCTTGGGAAGATAAAGAATTAAAAATGACAAAGAACATTGGAAAAATATCAGCGGTGCTTTCCAATCCCATTGTACATGCCAAACAAAACCATTTCCAAAGGACTGCCTCCACATGACTCCAGAACCAGAAACTTTGTCCAAAGGCTATGATGAGTAACACTGAAAATATATTCAACACTCAAATGGCCCGTCTAAAACCCAAAGAGATCACACAGTTATGATTAAGAAGGACCTTCATAACAATGACTTACAATCATAGAATCATTGAGTTGAAAGAGACATTGTGGGTCATCTAGTCCAACCCCCTGCCAAGAAACAGGAAATTTGCATTCATAGCACCCCTGACAGAAGGCTATCCAGTCTCTGTGTAAAAGCCTCCAAAGAAGAAGCCTCCACCACACTCTGGAGCAGAGAATTCCAATGCTGAACAGCTCTCACAGTCAGGAAGCTCTTCCTAATGTTCAGGTGGAATCTCCTTTCCTGTAGTTTTAAGCCATCATTCCACATCCTAGTCTCCAGGACAGCAGAAAACAAGCTTGCTCCCTTCTCCCTATGACTTCCCTTTACATACTTCCCCATACATGGCCATCATGTCTCCTCTCAGCCTTCTCTTCTGAAGGCTAAACATGCCCGGGTCTTTAAGCCGCTCCTCACAGGGCTTGTTCTCCAGGCCCTTGTTTATTTGAGTCACCCTCCTTTGGACAATTGCGGTGCCCAGAATTGTACGTGGTATGACCAAGGCAGAATAGAGCATGACTTCCCTGGATCTAGACACTATACTCCTATTTATGCAGGCCAAAATCCCATTAGCTTTTTTTTTTTTTTTTTTTTGCTGCTGCATGACATTGTTGGCTCATGTTTAACTTGTTATCCATGAGGACTCCAATATCTTTTTACACATACTGCTGTCGAGCTAGGCGTATCTTTGCATTTCATTTTTTCTGCCTAAGTGGAGTATCTTGCATTTGTCCCTGTTGAACTTCATTTTGTTAGTTTTGGCCCAACTCTCTAATCAGTTAAGATCTTTTTGAATTCTGCTCTTCTCTTCTGGGGTATTGACTATCCTTTCCAATTTGGTTTCGTCTGCAAATTTGATGATCATGTCTTCTAACCCTTCTAACTTAAGTCACTAACAATCCCATTTTGCTTTCATGATACTATGGCCAGGAATTCATAACTTGCTGGAGAGGACTGTGTAATGTTTTGGCTAAGCTGTGATTTCAACCCATCTTAGACAGTGTAGAGATGCACAGAGATGTCTTGAGCAGTGAGCCCACCATCAATCTGTGTTCTTTACATCATTCACATTTTGGATAGAAGCACATATGATGGACGTTATTTGGAGAGTTTATGGTCTATTCAATCTGATAATCAGGAAAGCGTTTCACCCTTCCCATTGTCCTGACACTTGCACAGAGAGCTGATCAACCAAGATTTGTGAAGATCACAAATGTTTTATAGAGGCAATGGAATACTTCGGTTTGTTTGGTTTTTTTAAAAAATGCTGAGTAAATATTAATCATGCCAGATGTCTTTTAAAGATTTTGAAGCCAAAAGCATGCTCACAAAAAAGGTGGAGAGGCAAAAAGAAACTGTACTGGAGCTTCATGTCAGTAGAAAAGGCAAAAAACAGGGTGAAGCAGAGTTCACAGCCCAAAGTAAAGTATGTTCACTTTCAACTGGTGCAGTGGGTTAAACCCTTGTGCCAGCAGGACTGAAGACCAACAGGTTGTAGGTTTGAATCTGGGGAGAGCATGGATGAGCTCCCTCCGTCTGCTCCTGCTCTCTATGCGGGGACAAGAAAGAAGCTTCCCACAACAATGGTAAAACATCAAAACATCCGGGCGTCCCTTGGGCAGTGTCCTTGCAGACAGCCAATTCTCTTACACCAGAAGCGACTTGCAGTTTCTCAAGTCACTACTGAGATGGAAAAACAAAACAAAACAAAACAAAAACCCTTTCAACTCTAAAACCCACAACCCAGAGATTGCATTCATTAGATCAGGTTTCCACCCTGTGATGCAGACAAGATCATTTTGACCACATTTTGCATTACTCCAGCTAGCATGATCAATGACCAAGTGATGATGGGAACTGGAGTACACCAGGAGAGTGCTCCATGTTGGAGAAGGCTGTACCTGTCTTGATTGATTCGTTTATAGCACTTTCTGCCCTGATTAAGAAGAATGTTCTATCTTTGTACGAGAGACACAAAACTCCAACACGACAGACAACTGTCTTGTACAGCAGAACATAACTCTGACCAAGGCCAAAGCAAAGTTCAAGCTGGCCAACAGGAAATTATAAAATCCCCCAGCAACGAGGCCAAATTAATTCTGGTGTAGCCTTCCCCAGGGGAGCAGGGAAAGCCCTACTAACGGGATCATTTAAAAATAGACTGGAGAAGCCAGCACTTGAGAACATACCAGAGGGAATAATCCTACGTTGGCAAAGACTGAACAAGGATGACCTAATATGTTCCCCTCCATCCCTCTGTTTCAACAGGAGGTCCAAACTGTAATGTGCAAGGCAGAAGGGATAAACACATCAGCTAAAGCAGGGGGAGGATCATATGTCCCTCTCAGTATCTGCCAGACTTCAACTTCCAACTGCTCTAGCTAGCACAGCAGGTGATAAAGAATGATGGGAGTTATAGTTTGACAACTTTTGAATCTCTCTTAAGAGGAAAAACACATGATATAAACAACAAAACAATAACAACAACATTAGAGACTCTCAGTTTCTATTTATGACTTCAAGGAGCCCCCAGTAGCACAATCGGTTAGATCCTTGCACTGGCTTGCCTGCTGACCCAAAGTTTGGCAGTTCGGATCTGGGGAGCAGGATGAGCTCCCATCTCTCAGCTCCAGCTTCTCATATGGCAACATGAGAGAAGCCTCCCACAGGATGGTAAAACATCCAGGTGTCCCCGGGCAACATCCTTGCAGATGGCCAATTCTCTCACACCATAAGTGACTTGCAGTTTCTCAAGTCGCTCCTGACACACACACATGCACACAATTCAAGGAAAGGAGGATATTACCTATCATTCTATGCCTACAAAACAAACTTTAAACTTAATCTTCAGAACACAGATGGGGACTTTTTTCTCTTGAGGAACACATTCCCTCTTGGATAGTGCTTCTTAGCTATCAAGTGTAGGAAACTGATTATTACTATAGCCAAAGGTTAAGGATTAGTAATGGTCCAGACTACCACTTTTATAGGGCAACCATAGGAGGCTATACTGGTGATGGCCACCCCTTTTTCTCCATCTTTTTCTACCACCCGTTTCTATTTCTGGTGCACTCCAAGGCTGGAAATCACCACTGTACTTAACACACACTCAGGAGTCCAAGGTAAAATAGTAAAGCAGTTTATTGAAGAATATATGAAAAGCAATTCAGCAAAATAGTATAAATAATGAAGTCCAAGTATCAGGATAAATCCACAGAAATCAAAGTATATAAGTAGCATTAAAAAAACAGGAATACAAAAGCATAAGAAATCCAAAACATGAGATTCAAGAACATGAACAAAAAGGAAACATGGACTATGGAACTAGAAATCCCTTGACTTGACAGAAGTTTTATACCCAAACATCAACATTGCCTCGAATGGCGAAAAAGCCTGCTGGTCTAGCTAAGATAGAAAGAAAATTATGCCTTCTCCCCTGGGAAACTGATACGGAATTCTTGGCTAATAGGCATCTTGACCTTTGCAAATCTCCTATCATTAGTCTGTCTACCTGGACTTTCATTTTCAACCTCTGAGCTCAGTTCTGTTTTTGACCTTGCTTCTTTAGCAAGCTGCCTTTCTGGAATGTGGCCTTCTGACAGAGACTGCTCATTTTCACGGCTTGAAATCTCTTGCTGGCTCTCCTGCTGCTCTTGCTAATTTGCAGACCCAGAATCCCTAGTGTCATCAGACTGACTAACAGGCCCAGAATCCCCAGGCGTAGGCACAATCAAACACTGAACTGCAACAATTTCCCCATTTCTTCCATTTTCTTTTCTCTCACTGTCTTTACCACCTGTCACCTCTCTCTCCCTTCACCTTTTGTCAATGTACCCCGTCTCTTGCACCTTCTCCACTCAGTTCTTCTGAATGGAATAGTCTGCTGGTAGAGGGTAAAGATTGCTTTATGTTAGAGGCATGAGCTGATCATTTACATATGGCATTCTTCCCCAACCCCACTCCAACTATTTTGTCCTTTATCCCTCTTTTATTTCTTTCTCTACGTGCCTAACCTCTCTCCTCCTTGGTTCCTAACTATATGATCACTCCAGGGCTGCAAGTTGTTCCTCCATGCTATGGATTTCCAGTATTTATTATTTATTTATTTCCGGTATTTCTACTCCGTCTCTTCTCTACTCCCGAAGGGGGACTCGGGACGGCTTAAATTTGGCAACGGTTTGAATGGATTCCTTTATAAGTATAGAGGACAACTGGGAATGTGTGGCAACAGGGAAGGTTTGTGAGGAAGGAAACCCACATAACAGAAGGAAGATTTTAAGGTAAATTTAAATTCTCAGGACTATGTTGCTTCTGGTGATCTTAACTCAATGTATGATATTTAGGAAAACATTCATCAGTTTAGTCATCCAAGTGTCAGTCAGTTCCTTTGTAGCCTAGACATTTTAGACATTTGACAAGCAAGAAGCCTCTCAACCTCCCAGTATGGAAGTGTTACTAAACAACCAC